ACAAATTGACGGCAATGATTTCTTTTTCTAGCCACTTCTGTATGCTTTTGTTCACTGGCTGCAGAGACTTTTTCTCCATCTTTTCCTTTTCAGTTTGTATCAGGTCTGAAAGTCCTTGTAGACAGCAAAGGACAGCAGTTTCCCTGTTTTGTTCCATCCATCCTGCCACTCTACCTGTGTGTGTGTGTGCAATCTTCAGACCATTTATGTTTAACATTATTAGAAAAGTGTCTATCTCACTTACTTTACTATTTGTTTTTTAATTTGCCTGCTTTGTTACAAAGATAATTTTTGTTTCCTTCCCAGCACCTTTTTCTGGGTGACTTCTTAATACTTACCTCATGCATTACATAAATTAGAATTGTAACAAGTAACGTATCAACAAGAGTCAACATACCATTTTAACATTGTAAATCTATTCCGAATACACACCTCCATTTCTTTTGGTGTCTACATTAGTATCATCATACAACTCTTATTTGACAAGTTTACTTTGTACTTATTCCTTACAAACATCAGGTAGGATTTAATTATTGAACTTAATCCTGCAAAAATCCTTATAGCTGACCATATCATTGCATTTTTTACAGAACTCAATTTTTTTCCACATACCTATATTTATTTAATGTGCTTGCCTTTCCATTTAGCAACATTTTCAAAGCTAATCTGATGGGCAAATTTCCACTTTTTATTTACAAGGCAGTTTTCATTATTCTTTTTATTAACAACTTTGCTTGCTAAAGAATTGTTTGCCATTGTGTTCAATATTTTATACATTTTTCTCCTCTGTTTCCTGGCTTCTGGAGTTTGGGGAGAAATCTGAACCAACTCTTATGAAAGACCTCTAGTATGTTGTATTTTATTTCTCTTGGTGATTTCAGAATGGTTTTTGGTAATTTTGGTAACACTGCAATTGATCATTTTGTACTCCTTCTAATTGGAATTCATGTAACTTCCTAAATTTGCAGGTGTGATTCTTTGTTCAAGTTTGAGAAACAGTATTTCCTGGGAAATTCTTTCCACTCCTTTATTGCTGTTATGGTAATGAGATGTAATTCTAACATTTTCGTTCTTAATTGACTACCATTATTTCCATTCAGGTTTATTTATTTTTGTTTTTCCATCGTTGTCTTCATTGTGTACTGGTGAGTTTGGGATTCATGGGTTTTTAGAGGCCGCAAGTCACAAGGGAGACTGTTCATTATTCTCCCCCAGAGTAGCTGGTGGGTTCTGTGTGCCTTTGGGATGGCAATGCAACTTTCTAGCACTTGGTAAATTCATTTCTTTTGTGTACTATTTATTTTTCTATGTGCTCAACTCAATTGTTTCATGGTGACTGCTGCAATGGGCTCTTGTGTATGAGGAGGTATGAGGATGGTGCAGGATAGAACAGTTTTCAGTTTTTCCTTTGGGTCACTCAGTTGTACTTCACTCAACAGCACCTAACAGACAACAGCTCGGTTGCTGTATTTTTTCAGTTCCAGTAGTTTTTGCTTTTCTTAATTTGTCTCATTTTGTTAATTTCCTTGTCTGTTAGTTTTTCTATATGCTTATTGCTTTCTTTATTTAGTGCCAGTCTGAAAATGGTTGTTGTTACTCTGGTTTCGAGAAATCACCTGTTTTGCTTTTGTCATTCTTCTTAAAAATTACTATTTTTTGGTGATGTTAGGCCATTTAAATTCTGCCTTCGGATGTTTGTGGGAAATTTTTCTAGGAGGCAAGGATTCTGAGGCTTTGTCTGACATACTTTGGACATGCTGCAAGGAGGGACCAGTCCTTGGATAAGGACGTCATACTTGGGAGGATGAAGACAGTGCAGGAGAAAAAGAGCCTTGATGAGTTGGACTGATTCAGTGACTGGGGTTATAGAGGTAGGTGTGTTGGAGACAAGCAGACTGACAGGATAGAGCAGGGTTTAGGGCTGTTGTGCATAGGGTCCCTGTGAGTCTCTAGCACATAACAACAAGGTGCCCTAATGGAATAGCCATTAACTGCTCCACTGACAACTGAAAGGCCACACCCCTCAGTTACTCCATGGGATAAAGATGTGGCTGTCTGCTTCCACATAAGGCACTCAGGTTGTATTCAATGCTGATTTATTCCAGTTATCTCTAGGATTCAATACAAACACACAGCTTAGTCGTAGCTGATTGCAGATGCTGATGTATGCAGTAGTGCTGCCTTCCTCCGCGGTGATGAGGCTGTTTTTCCTACTAGGTTCTCCACATACTCTTCCACAGCATTTCACTGAGGGCAAGGCACAGGTTATTTCCCTGTTACCCATCAGTAATATTCCTCTAATCTTGATTTTGCAATTCCTCTGTTATTGCCAATCTCAGTCTTCAGTAAGATTTCAACAGCACTCTCCTATACCCTTTGCCCTCTTCCAATTGTGTGGCCTGCGAACTCCCACAGCAAATGTCATCTTGAAATAACAGCTACAGCTTACTCAGTTAGCTTCCTGCTGTTTGGGGGCAGCCCTGTACCATAATAAGCAACAATGAGCAAGCTCCCCACATGTAAGCAGGTGAGGATTCTCAGTTTCTGTGCCATCCCTGCTCCTCCTCTTCCTCTGCTTCTGGACTCATCTGAACTTTCTATCACTTTAGCTGCCATCTGAAGTTCTAAGATCTCAGTCTATGCGTTTCTCCCCTCACTGGTCACTTCATCATCCTGCTTCACCACTCCCATAAAACTCGGTCTTTACAACTCAGAGAAATAAACTTATAAAACTTACCTTCATAATCATGTATTTTATGTACTAATACCAAACTAAACTAAAAAGTTAAAAGCGTCTCTTTTGCTTTTTATCAATAAAAGTTTTCCCATATTTTAAAATATATTCTTTACTAAGCAAAATTTAAGACAAAGTGTACATATACTATGTTTGGTTACACAGAAGCATTAATAACAAATAGCCATAAATTACCAATTGTGTTTTTTGACACAAAGCCTTATAACACAAGTATTATAACACCAATCAAGTATTAAGAGTTAATAAGAATACACTTAAATTTGGTGCAAATTTCATTTTATTAAACCTTACAATGAACATTGTGGCATTATCATTTTCCATTGTGTGACAATTCATTGGCTGTCATCTGAATACAGTACTTCTTTTGAAAAAGACACAATGGGAACTGTCAAAAGGGAGAGAAACTAGCTGTTGTTTAGTGATATATGAGGGGAAAACAAAAGGGGGGAAAATGATGATTAATTCTATCTTCCTTTGTATCTAATTCTAGAATGGTTAAGTTCCAAGCAATGTTGTTGCTGTTACAGTATACGGTAATATTGTTATACATCATCTGGCCTGCTCAAGTCTTGAGATACTAAATTATAAGGATTATCTACAAATTCAGCCAAAGTTTTCTGTTCGGCAATCTGATTTTAAAGAGCTATTTTTCAAATATCTAACAAATTTCCCAAATCACAGTAGATGGGGTCTCTAAAATTGTACCTTAAGGTTATCACTTTACCGGTGAGCAATTGCTTAACTTCAAAAATCATACAGGACTCTAAATTATCTTTTGCTGACAGAGGCTTAAGTATCTGCCAGAGTTATGAATAAGAAACTGAATATTTTTAAAAATAAATAATCCACTTATAAGGTAGACTGGCCTCCGATCTAAAATTATTATCGTTGTTTTAAATGCAAATTATCAATAGTAGGATATCTAAAATTCAGCAGGCCTCAACAGGACATTTCTGTAGACATGTACTCAAAATGTAGACATTAACTCCAGTCAACACCATGCTACAATATACACTTTTGACACAAATCAAATAGCCAAAAAAAAATTAATTTTACTTATCTGTGGTTTTAGAAAATAACACAAGCTTGCCTCTTTTATTCAATCTCACACTAATTTTGAAATACTTTCTAAAAAAGGTCTCACTAGTGTCTGAGGTCTCATTCACAAATCAACTTCCTTTCAAATAAAACTATGGACAATTTTGTACTACTGCTAAGCTAATCTTTTTCAAGACCTTCTAATGCCAGAGAAGAATTATATCCTAATTGACAAAAGGCATTTATTTCTGGTATCTGGATCAAAAAATAGTTCTAAATTATCAATTTTCAGTGGTAGAAAAATTCTATTTAAAGAAGTCCTTACAACAATAATTTTACATTAGAATTGTACAATTCAAATTCACCTGTAAAACAGTAAGACAGTCCTTACTGTAAGATGTAAATCCTTCTCTTCCTCTTCAAGAAATATCACTTAAACTTCCAACTGTCCCTTTTTCACCCCAAAATTATGGAAATCAACTAATGTAAATTTACAATATTTGTAGAGATTCCAATTTTTAAAAGTAGCTTGTGCATATATAATTATTACACCACAGACTAGAAACAAGTGATTTCAAAATACTGTTAGATTTCTAGAATATCATCTAAATAACAAATTTTTCTTAATGTATGAGGCAGCTCAAATATTTAGTCAAATTTGACCATGGTAAATAAGAGATTACTAAAATCTCTTTATTTAAAGAGTGGCTAAAATTCAGTTATGTTCAAGCTATCATTTTCAATGGTGAAATTAAATTTACCACATAGTAAAATGGGCCATGGTAGCTTTAAAAACAAACAAAAAAACCCCTTCAACTGTTTAACCAAAAAAGCCTGTTATTTATTATTCTTCATTACAAGTTTACAGAACAAAAGTGAAATAAATCTAACTTGCAATGATGACTCCTTAAATATCATTACATCAATCCTCAGATTAAAACATCAATACAAAAACCCAAGTGAGTGATCCAGCTCATTGAACTCACAGGTAAACTGAATTTTTCTTAAAATAAGAAACTTTTTATTCAGAACAATTCCATTAAGACATCTGCAGGGCACATATGCCATCAAATATTTTATTCTGAATAAGAATAAAGTGCTGAATGATAATTACCTGAATCTTTTTTAGTATTTTTCTTTTATCTTAAGTTAAAAGAGCCCTTTCTGTGGCATTAGCAATGCTGTTAAAAATGGGGGCGGAGGGGAGAGCTAACTTTCAGACAGGGAATAGGAAGCACTAAGCACTGCAACCTTTGTGTGTTTAACTATGGTGACAAATAATTGAGACCAAAGTAATCCATGCAAGTTATTTTAAAAGGTATACTTAAGCTTGAAGAAAAAAGAACACTGTTACTGACCTTTGATACTATGGCAGTAAATTGCGTACTATTAAAATACTTTAATTATCCTAGATCTGGCTTGACAAGCATCATGCCACTGACATGCTTTAGCTCTTTTTGTGACTAAAAGTGATTTGCAGTTTCATTACTGCGTATTTCAATGTGATTCATTAAGCTGTGTTGATAATCTCTGAGGTTAAATTTAAGCAAATTCTCTACACCTAATCGCACCATCAGCACAAGCAGGACAACGCTGGAGCAGCATGAAAGGTGGGTCACTTTATCATCTTCCTTTTACTGCATGATATATTACGATTACAGACCTAAATTTCAACTGGGTTAATGAGTTAGAGTAGATTTGTTTCCCAAATTTAGCACACAATAATTTCAGTGGATTAAGAAAGAAATTGAAAATATGAAGACGGAAGGGGGTAGAACCCCAAACAATAAACCTTGAGCTCAGATAGCTAACCTGTAGCACTAAAAATCATCACACTACAGAGTACTTTCATAACATGAGCTCTATAACAAATCAAAACAAGCAGTGTTTTAAGTTGAAGTTGACCAACTGCTGCATAGAAAATAAGCTAACATACAACAGTCAAGTTTAAGCCGGTGCATAGAGAAGATAAAGCACTTATGGTTACTGCAAATGGTAAGTCCATAGAGTTTGTACAACCTAGCTAGGGTCTGTAAGGGGGAAAAATTAGTAAGAAGATATGATAAGGCAAAAATAAAGTGGATATGGAAGCAAAGCTTGGAGAGGGAAGCAGGGGAGAAAAAGACTTTCAATCATATAAAATTCATGAATCAGTAAAGTAAAAAGACATTGCTGAAAAACAATTAATTCAGTCCCAAACACCCAACAGCAAACAAAACCAGAATGGTTAACAGCCTTTGGCAAACAATTTTAGAAATGGTATTTCTCAACAATTCATAAACAATATATTATATGGTATATTTATATTAAATACTGGGAAACCAATCTTGTAAAGTTGATGCTTATGCTTTAGCCAATGACAGCACAATGATATCAAGCGATATGAATGCTGGTGTTATCACAACAGTGCTCATTTATGAAACAACTGTTACCAATTCATTCTTTAACAGTGCTCAAATACAGTCAAATCATCATCTATGAAGTGAAACAAAGGTCTCTAGCTTTTCTGGGATATGCCCTTTATAATATATTCTATGATTCACTATGACACGAGCAGCAAGACACTGCAAAGTGGTGTGATTTATGGGCTGGATCAAATTTTTAGCTATTTCCTTCTCATCCAACAAGTCACTAGCAGTTTGTTTGTGCAAGTTTGTGGTATCAAAATGTGCACCTGATTTAATAAGAAGATTCATGATGTCTGGATGGTTGTTCAGAGCAGCAATATGTAGGGGACTGTTGTCATCGGAGTCTCTGACGTTCACATCAGCACCACATTCTATCAGAATTGCAGTAACTTGCAGAGATGGAAATTTACAAACAGGGTACCGACCTACACATGTAGTATTCTTGTCCACAGCTAGATGAAGGGGGCTAAAGTTATTCTTTCCCCTTGGATGCAGTTTAAGAAACCTGTATATAGTCTGCTTTTTGAAATGGTCCTGTTCTAGAGTACAAGGAACTTTTTCTAATAAGCAAATTAAGTGCAAAATGATGGAAAGAGCCTTATTTAACTGTAATGGGTCAGCTGGACACTGAGTTTGTTTGACAGCACGCTCTATTTCAAGAACGCTTTTACACAGTATGCCCATAAGATCATCAAATGTAACAGTAGTGCCCAGCAAGCCTTTAGCCCTATCCTGAAGCATAAAAGAGAACAGTTCTGCAAAAGATAATAAACTGCTGGCGGTCATCGGACTTAGAGGGTCCAGATTGTTCTGCTGCATATCCAAAGCATATTTCCATAGGTTGATGCATCTTTTGAAATTTCCAGAGTCTGCATAGACAGCACCTCTGTATCTAATATAGTAAGAGGTATCAGGGTGAGAAGGACCAAGAATACGTTCTCTAATTAATAGTGCTTGCATTCTCATATCATCAGGATCAGCAATAAGACCTTCTAGTTCTTCTGTACTATTTACCTCCTTGGCATAATCATAAGCCATTATCAGTGTTTGTGGTGCTGGTTTGCTAATTATATTAGTCCGATCACTGTACCTCATGTTCATTGCTTTTTTCCAATATTTTAAAGCTCCAAGTAGATCTCTTTTTTTGTCTACAAATGTAGCTCCCAGTAGCTCTAGAGCATTGATGCGTTCTGTCTTGCTGGTCTGTGCATGATGAGTAAGAAAATCCACAATATTTGTGTGGCCAGTCACGCTTGCTGAGAGAAGTGGAGTCATTCCATAACCATCCTTTTCCATCTTGGCACAATACATAAGAAGCATCTTCATGATATCCAAACTTCCAGATTCTGCACAATCATGCAATGCAGTATTGCCTTAAGGAAAGGGGAAAAAACAAATAAAAGGTCACATGCTTTGAGAATCAGGCCATGTGTGTATCTTAAAATCTAAAGAAAAGTTGATAAACTGCAAGCCTAAGTGGGACACACTTTGATTACCATTGAGGGAAATTTCTACTTGGCACCTACAATTAGTGTTTGACACATAGCAGTGGTTAAGAAAATAGCTTGTTTTATCTGTTGAATGAGTGGGATGATCAAATTAAGACAACAAAAGGTACTTCAAGACACTGGATCAAACGGAAAATGAATCTATGGCAAATCCATATTTGTCTCTAGAGCTTTAATTGAAGAACTGCGTATTCTAGGACTAAAACTTGACTATATTAAAATAACCAGTTATTCACAGTTCTTAACTACAGAGTTTTCTAGGTCAGCTTTCACATTTATAAGTGAGGGACCTAGTCTATTACAATTAGATAATTTTATTCTAGTATAAATAAGAAAATTTTCTCAATACGTCTTATTGCTAAGTGAATGTCAATTATTTGAGTCAAAATTCTTGGTAATAAAGTATAATCCCAAAAAAGTTCCTTAAGAAAAAGCAAGTCCACTGAAATATGAAAAATATGTGGGTGGTTCAATATGAACTTTAAAAGATGACATCTGTAGCATCCTTTCATAATGAATAACTTCCCATTGTAATTTTTTAAAACATTCCTTTAGATGTACTAAATGTTCTAACACTGTCCTGTCCTTCCCACACATAGACTGAAATTGACAACAGTGACTGGCATATTTATAAAAGTCTGTATAAAGCATATTAAGAGATTATTTAACTGGACAGGTATTTTCACTACCTAAGTTTAATGATTACTTTGCTAATCATCAAAATAAATATAATGCAGTCCCTTTGATAAGTACATTATTTTCAGAAAAATTCACTAGTGAATCATTTTAGACATATGTGAAGAACAGAACACAGCAGGCTAATACAACTATCCCTAAGAAATGTTGGCCCTTGCCTAAGAATCTGTCCAGTAAACAACTCTTTCACTGATATAAAATTTTCCCCTGAACAGGACAAGGATAGTTCATCATGCCTAAACTGTATGTAAAAGCAATGATATTTATGCTAAACAGCTGTTTTCTTTCTGGGGATCTGGAATTCTAGGTATAGGGTGTTTCTGTCATTTGCCCAAATAAAAATGTTGGGCAGAGGCTGAATCTTGGGCAGAAATATATTACATATTCATTTTTGTTGCTGAAAGAAGAGTATGCTCTGTGTGACCTCTCATGGAAGAAGAGTATTAGAAAGTCTGCATATGGACTCCTCTACATCACACCTGTGCCTATTTCTTCTCATGACCCAGCTGTGTATTCTTAAAATATTGCTGGAATAAATCCCAGCTATGAGTACAATTATATGCTTAAGTTACCTCGAAACACAGGGATATCCTGGAAACCACCAATACAACATGCATAACAGAAGCTATTTAAAGTGAACTCATCATACAATTAAAAAAGGAAAATCAAATATTCATAGCATCAAGACATTAATTCCAACCCAAGTTTACCTTATTAGTGTTTTAGGATATATATTAATCTCAAATACTGAATATACCATGGACAGTCAAAAGAACAAACAAGTTTGTCTTAAAGGAAGTGTAAGCAGGTTGCTAAGAGGCAAGGATGGTGAAACCTTGCCTTACATACTTTGGGAGTGTTGTTAGAAGACTTGGAAAAAGATATCATGCTGGGAAAGGTGTGGGGTCAGAGAAAGAATGAACTTCAGTAAGATGGACTGACACAATGACGATAACAATGGACTAAAATGTCAGATAGTAAAGATGGCACAGAATAGGACTGAGTTCAGATTTGTTGTTTATAGGGTTGCTATGAGTTGTAGTCAACTTGATAGCATCTAGTAACAACAGCAACACTATTACAAGACCAATAAGCAATATCATTGGCAGCGGTTTGAGTTTTCTGTTGAGTATTTTTCAATTTATATTGATGCCTAGATAATTAGAATATTTATCCACGTGTACAAACTTCATTTTGTGACACATATGTTTATATTCCAGTTTCAAAGATTAATCTGACTTTATGTTATAGATATATTTTATATAGTATTTTATAGAATGATACTGAGTTGTTCGTTATATATACTGTAATGTTTTGCTGTATCAGTTGTTTCATTTAAGATTATATATGTAGTATTAATTTCTTACAAAAAGTTATTCTAACAACTTGGATTTAAGAATTCACACAGTTATGTGGTAAAACAAAAAAGTATCTGATTTGTGATAAATAATTTCAATTATTTAAACTTTTCAGATATGACAATATATGGAAGTACTCTTAAAATCCAACAGACTTTCCCCCTAGTTTATGTACCCCTTAAAATGCTGCCATAATGCAATGATTACATTTCTAAAAGATAGTGTCTCCACCTCACTACATCATATTTTTATGTCCTTAAGAGTGAGAAGACAATGAGAACTAAAACAGTATAAAAAGCTTAAAATAAAAACTGAACAGCACTGGAATGTAATGAATTTACTTTTAAGTAGAAAAAGAAGATAAACATTTTATTATGTGGTTTTCTATGTTTGATTAAGAAAGATTCATTAGGAAAAGAAAAAAAAATTCTGGTACCAAATCCATAATGAAAAAAAATTAATGATTTCCTCAAAGACCTGTTCATTACATGGGAAGTTGTTAAAAATCTAGACAAGCAGATGACACAGTATTTAATTTCCATTAAAATATTTATTCAAAAAGCTACAACAGTTCTGATACAAATACATTAACATAAAAAAGTGGCTAAGAAAATCTAGAATAAAAGTATGTTGAGATGCGTCTGGGATGGACATTAAGCAAATGCCACCAGAGGAATCATTCAGGTGCATTAAAACATAATAGTATTCATGGGAGTTCCTGCTGGTGCAAATGGTAAGTACTAATTTAAAGGGAAGATTGGTGATTCGAACCTATGCAGAGACACCTTAGTTTTCAGATTTGTTTCCATAAGGTTACGGCTTTGAATCCCTACTGAACAGTACTACTCTGGATATATGAGTTTACTATGAGTCAGAAATTACTCCGTGGGAACTGACCACAAACAGTATCCTCTAAAACAGTATTGGAAATATCATTCTTTGATGCTCCTTTTTAAAGGATTTATAATCTAAAGGAGTCATGCTATCACTGTGGCTAAGTTAAGGGCTGTTAACCAAAAAGATCAGCAAGTCAAAACCTTCAGTAAGACAGATTATAGCTTTTACAACTCTACTGTTTAAAGGGTCACTATAGATTGGAATCATCTCATTTATCAGGATGGTTGTTGTTATGTGCCTTCAAGTCGCTGGCAATCCATAGTGATCCTATGTATAGCAGCTTGGAAGACTGACCTGTCCTGAGCTCACTAATTTCAACACACCAACCCCCACTGCCCCAGTTACTGTATCAGTCAATCTCAATCACGGTCGTCTTCTCCTGTGCAGTCCCTCCACCCTTCTGAGCATGATGCCCTTCTCCAAGGATTGGTCTCTCCTGGCCATGTGCCCAAAGTATGTGAGACAGAGCTTCAAAAGTCTAGCCTCAAAAAAAAAAAAAAGTCTAGCCTCCACAGAGAGGTTTCACCCTCTCCAAGATGGACTTGTTTTCTTGGCCACCTATGGTATGTTCAAGACTCTTCTCCAGCACAATTTGAAGCCATCAATTTTTCTTCTGTCATCCTTAGTCATTATCCAGCTCTCTTGATGTACAGCAATCAGATATGAAGCCCATGGACTGGATTAGGCACACTTTAGTCTCTAGACTCACATCGATGCTTTTCAGTACTCTAGAGAGGTCCCAACAGTGCAATTAGTCTTTTGATTTCCTGACTGCTGGTGTTAGAAGTGTTGATTGTGGAGCTGAGCAAACTGTAATTATTAATAATCTCAATCTCTTCTCTATCTATCATAGTGCTGCCAATTGGCCCAGTGCTGAGAATCTTTATCTTCTTTTTTTATTTTTTGGTATAAGATCATTACTGTAGAATGAGTATGAGGATCCCAGGGGGCAGAAGCAGAGGGATGAAGATGGGGGGGTCATGGGCTTGTACATACAATATGGGTGGAGAGGGGGAGTGAGGGAAATTGGAAGGATCTGGTCTGAAAAACAATGGATTTGAATTCTGTAAATAAACTAATTGAAAAAAAATCTTTGTCTTCTTGATGTTGAACTTCAATCCATATTGAAGTCCTTGGCCTTCTGCTACAAGCACTTCAGGTCCTTCTCAGTTTCAGCAAGCAAGGCTGTGTCATCTATATAACGTAGGTTGATGAGGCTCCCTCCAATCCTGATGCCACATTCATCCTCATAAAGCCCAGCCTCCTGAATGATCTGTTCTGCATATAGATTAAAAAGGTATGGAGACAAGATACATCCCTGATGCACTCCTTTCCTGATTTTGAACTATGTAGGGTTTCTCTGCTCTATTCTGAGGACTGCTTCATGGTTTCCGTACCGTAAAGGTTTCTCATGAGAACAATCAAGTGTTCTGGGATTGCCATTTTCAAGGCTAGCGACAATTTTTTGTGATCCACACAGTCAAATACCTTTGCTAGTCAATGAAACACAGATAAGACATTCTTCTGGTACTCTGATTTCTGCCAAGATCCATCTAACATTGGCAATAATGTCTCTAGTACTATGACATCTTCTAAACCCAGCTTGTATTTCTGGTAGTTCTTTGTCAATGTACTGTTCCAGTAGTTTATGGATAATCTTCAACAGGAATGTGCTCATGGGTGATATTAGTGTTGTTGTTGTTGTTAAGTACCGTCGAACTGCAGGTGACGCATAGCAACTCATGGACGAAAGTCCTGGATACTTCCTGTATAACTTTCATCCTTTCTCCAGGTTCATATTAGCAATAATATTCAATAATTTCCACACTACTTTTTTTGGAATGGGAATAAATATGGATCTCTTCCAGTCAGTTGGCCAGGTAGTTGCCCTCCAGATTTCTTGGCACAAACTGG